AGTGCAAACACCTCATGATGATGCAGCAGAAGATGATGTTGAGCCAGAGATTGAGGGGGAGCAACCACCCCAAGAGCCACTACCACAGACACCGTTAAGGAGATCTACTAGAGAAAAACAGTCATCCAGAAAATATTCTTCAAATGAGTATGTGATGATATCAGATCAGGGGGAGCCAGGGACTTATCAAGAAGTCTTGAAGCATGAGAACAAAACTGAATGGTTCAAGGCAATGAAAGAGGAAATGAAGTCTTTGCATGAGAATCACACCTATGATTTGGTGAAGCCGCCTAAAGGGAAGAAAATTTTGAAAAATAAATGGGTCTTCAAACGAAAGAATGATGGGAACAGTTCTCAACCGAGATTCAAGGCACGACTTGTCGTGAAAGGTTTTGATCAGAGAAAGGGAGTTGATTTTGATGAGATCTTCTCACCAGTTGTGAAGATGTCCTCCATTCGAACTGTGCTTGGTATAGCTGCGAGTATGAATTTAGAAGTTGAGCAGCTTGATGTGAAGACCGCATTTTTGCATGGTGACTTAGAAGAGGAAATTTATATGGAGCAACCTGAGGGCTTCAAAGATAAGGGTAATGATCAGTTAGTTTGCAAATTGAAGAAGAGCTTGTATGGATTGAAGCAAGCACCGAGGCAGTGGTACAGAAAATTCGATGCTTTCATGAGTGAGAATGGGTATTCAAGAACCACTTCAGACCATTGTGTGTTTGTGAAGAAATATAAAGATGGTAATTTTATTATTCTCTTGCTTTACGTTGATGATATGCTTATTGTGGGCCAAGACACGAGTAAGATTAGCAAGTTGAAGTCAGAGTTGAGTAAGTCCTTTGCCATGAAGGATTTGGGTCCAGCAAAGCAAATTCTTGGGATGAGAATTGTTCGTGACAGATCACATGGGCTGATTTGGTTATCTCAAGAGAATTATATTAAAAAGGTTCTTGAGAGGTTCAATATGGACAAAGCAAAGCCTGTTAGTTGTCCACTTGCAGGCCACTTCAAACTAAGCTCAAGTCAGTGTCCTACAAGTGATGAAAAGAGAAATGAGATGCAGAAAATTCCCTATGCTTCAGCAGTTGGTTCTTTGATGTACGCCATGGTTTGTACTCGACCGGATATTGCTCACGCAGTTGGGGTTGTCAGTCGATTTTTGTCTAATCCAGGGAAAGAACACTGGGCAGCAGTGAAATGGATTATGAGGTATCTTCAGGGCACTTCAAAGATGAGTTTGTGTTTTGGTAAAGGCGAGCCTATTCTTGATGGGTTCACAGATTCTGATATGGCTGGTGATGTTGATAGTCGAAAATCTACTTCTGGTTATTTGATTACTTTTGCAGGGGGAGCAGTGGCATGGCAATCAAGATTACAGAAATGTGTTGCTCTCTCCACCACAGAAGCTGAGTTCATCGCCATCACTGAAGCTTGCAAAGAATTATTGTGGTTGAAGGAATTCTTACAAGAGTTGGGTTTGAAACAAGAAAGGTATGTCCTTCATTGTGATAGTCAGAGTGCAATCCACTTGAGCAAGAATTCTTCATTTCATTCGAGATCGAAACATATTGATGTTAGATATCATTGGATTCGTGATGTCTTGAATGATAAGTTGTTACAACTTGAAAAAATTCACACTGATGATAACACTTCGGATATGTTAACTAAGGCATTGACTAAGGACAAGCATGAGAAGTGTCGACTTTTGGCGGGAATGGTCGAATCCTCCACATAAGTCGGGAGGGGGAGAATTGTTGGGTTTCCCTCCTTTGTGGGACTCATCAATTTGCTAATTTTTTGGTGGCTTACCCGTGTATGACTCTTATCCAAGACTTGGTTTGGAGTCTTCAAGTTAAAAGGAATTTGGCAGCCACCAAAGACTATAAGTTTTGTCCTTTTCTTTGGTTCATCTTTTCTCTGTTGGTTTGGCAAGAAGACATATTTTCAGCAGTCTTTGGTTCAACAAAAATTCAGCCTTCTTCTTCTCCTTTTTGGTGCCAGAAAAATCTGCAAATTTGTTCTTCAAGTGGGTAACATTTCTTCACTTGATATTTGGGTTTCTTGCGGTTTGTTCTTGGAGATTTGGTTCACTTATTTTGTGAGGTATTTTCCTCTTGTGATTTACACCTTGGTGTGTTTGTAAGGCTTATGCCTTTTGGCCACTTTGTAATCTGATTTGGTGATAGTGGAAGAAACTGATCTACCGGTCGTCGTGGATGTACCTCAAGTTATTTGAGGGAACCACGTAAATCTTGTGTGCTTATTTATTTTCTGTTATTTTATTTATATTGCTTCCATTGATTTACACTTGTGAGAAAGCCTATTTTCCCAACAAAGTAGTGACATGGCATTTTAAGGATGAAGGGGGCTTATTATCAAACCCTTTGAGTGTATTTGGATAGTGGGATAAAGAGGGTTAATACGCATAATAATAGGTAAATAAGGTAGTGGATTACATTTATTCTTTGTTTGGGAATTTTTGGAGGTATGATAACAATTTCGGGTCAAGCCTTGACCCAGTTGTTTTAGTGGTTCATACTCCCCTACACCGGTTATAATTAACCCACCCATCCATCGATTACAAACCCATTCAATGGGTTACTCCCCTACAGACATATTTGCCCCTCTTTCTTTTGTCATTCTCGTCCAACATCACTGTGGCTGGTGCACAGAGACGACGAAGAAGACGGGATTAGCCATCAATCCCCCCCCCCACCCCACCTCTCTCTTGCTTTATTGTCGAAGAGGACACCCAACCTCCGGCGATCTCCACCTTACTCCGGTGTTGTTGATTGTAGTATAAGGAGTGATTCGTCAGAGGTGGTTGGCAAAAGGATGAAGCCCGCTTAGGCCTCCGTGGGCTCCATAAAATTGAATTGTTCCTTCCCAAGCAATGGTTTGGATTGGATAACAAGTAAAACTCATCCAATTATGTGATTTATTGGATTTGGGTGGGATGGGTTAGAAAATAAAAAATCATATTCTTTCTTATCCTTGGTAGTTATCCAAACGCACCATTTGTTATCAATTTGGTTGTCGCTGAATGAATTTATTTGAGATCGTCAGATGAACTTATATATATATTGATTTTCTATTTTCTTTATTTTTTTTTATATTTCAAGACAGAGGGAATATAGATAACTCTATAATTTTATAAAAATAGATGATCATTTTTTTGGGGTCCTAAATCCAGGGCGACCCCAAATAATTTTGGGCCTAAAGCACAATTAATAAATTAGACTTTTTTTAATATGAA